TCCAGAAGCTGAGCTCGGACCACTACCCGGTGGTGGCCTAAGTTGGATCCTCGGTAAACCGATTTGTAGCTTCCCGGCGCAACTACCATCGAGTCAACTGGGCGCAATATCAACACTGCGTCGACACAACCATCGACTATGATGTCCAACCGGGGACGTCCGAAGATGTTGACCGGTGTCTACAAACCATCGAGGAGACGATCTCCCGGGCCAGGGAACAACACGTGCCAGTATCCAGACAGGTGAGTAACACTCTGAACCTTGACAGCCCTACCAAAGATCTCATTAGACTCCGTAGCACCATTCGTAGGCAGTACCAGCGATCATTCAGGCCAGGTTGGTGGATCTCAGAAATAACGATTTTGCTAGTAAGATCCGCTCTCTCCCAGATTGTGCTAAGCCCTTCTGGAAACTTACAAAAATTCTTAAAAACAAGCCTAGGCCCATTCCCCCACTGACCCCACTGGATCGTCCCGGCGACCCAGTGGTTCATCTGATAACTCCTGAAGAGAAGGCTGCCGCGATAGGTCAACACTTCGTCAGCTCCCATAATCTCGGACAAAACATCATCAGCCCTCATGAATCTGAGGTTGCTGAAAATGCAACCAATCTTCTTCAGATTCCTAACATTTTTCCAGAGGAATCCGAGATTACGGCTGACGAACTGTTGGCCTATATCAAATCATCTAAAAACATGAAGGCCCCAGGTTTCGACAACATCCTGAATCTGGAACTCAAACACTTGAGTTCCAGATTCTACAGCCATCTGGCACTGATTTTTAATCAGTGCCTCAGACTTGGCTACTTCCCCTCGTGTTGGAAGTCAGCTAAAGTCATACCCATCCGGAAACCTGGGAAGGATCCGCCCTCTCCTTCAAGTTATCGACCAATCAGCCTTCTCTCAGGGTTATCGAAACTGTTCGAAAGAGCAGTGTACCACCGGCTCCTAACATCTGCCGATGAAAACAACTTGTTACTCGAAGAACAGTTTGGTTTTCGGAAAGGTCGTTCGACCGTCCACCAGCTGAATCGAGTTACAAACATTCTCAGACGGAACAATTCTGTTTCGAAAACATCTGCCATGGCGTTGTTGGACGTTGAAAAAGCGTTCGACAATGTCTGGCATGATGGCCTGGTATTCAAATTGCAGCAGTACGGTCTTCCAATCTTCCTAGTGAAGATAATAAACAACTATCTATCAGTCAGGACGTTCCGAGTCTCTTTGAATGGCATCACATCGGATGCTTTCAACATCGGTGCCATCCATCGTCTACAAGGGTAGGGTCATCGGAGCTCTGACTGCCAAACTTCAGAGAGGCCTAGACGTCCTGTCTGAATACTTCAACAGCTAGAAGATCCGTATCAACGCGGCAAAGACCCAGGTCATCATCTTTCCACACTCTAAATCTCCTAGACTTGTTCCGTCGGAGAATAACAAGATCTGCCTGAACGGCACAGTGGTGGAATGGTCCAAAGAGGTCGTGTACCTCGGGCTAACACTAGACAGCAAGCTTCTTTTCAGGGAGCACGTTGACAAAACGAAAACCAAGTGCAACATCTTGATAAGATCGTTGTATCCACTTATCAACAGGAAGTCAACCCTGTCCCTGAAAAATAAGCTTGTTGTCTACAAACAAATCATCCTTCCTGTAATCGAGTACGGTATGCCAATCTGGAAGAGTTGCGCAAAATGCCATCACCTTAAACTCCAAAGGATCCAGAACAAGATTCTTAGGATGGTCCTAAACAGTCCCCCGTGGACTAGAAATTCTGAGATCCACTTCCTGGCTGGAATTCAAACATTAGAAGAACGGAGAGTATTCATCCTGGAAAGGTTCAGAGACACCTGTCTGAGATCAAATCATCAGATCATACGTGATCTAGCACGTTAGCTTAAGTTATACTCGTAGTTAGGTAGGTTATCACTTTTTTCAATTCTAATTCCTGGGGTATTCTGTAAACTAGTTGAAAAACGCAAATATTAAATTAGAATATCAAATTAAACAAAGATGAAGAGCCAAGTAGGCTAATCAATTAAAATGATAAATCAATGTACTACCATAATCAACAGAAATAAACATAATTTTACTACTACTACTACTGCCTCTGCTCATTACCGCTTCGGACGGCGTGGCACTAGGTCCTGCATCAAGCAGGACTAGATCAGCGGCTAAAGGTGGATGGTGGATCACGGCGTGTTCACCACAATGAGGAATGAGACTTGAAAAAACGTGCATGTAAAACCCCCTCCCCCTTAACAATAACCCGAAAAAGACATGGACTTTGACGATCATTTTTTTTTCGGGAAATAAAGTTCAAGCAAACCCTAATAATGTATGAACTTTTAATTTTTTACATGCAGAGCTAACATTTTCAAAAAAAAAATATTGCTTAATAGGAGACATACACTCGATGAATTACCAACAACTGACTGTAAAACATATCTGGTACCTCTATATATGCAATTATATTAACAACTTTTTGCTCCGCCCCATTCATAAAAAAACGGCGGGAAATCCTACCAGGTTCTGAACCTGAAAATATATAAAACAGCGCTGCTGCCATGCTTTTGCTCATTTTCGCTTCGGACGGCGTGGCACTTGGTCCTGCAGTAAGCAGGACCAAATCAGCGGCTAAAGGTAAGTAAGCGGAAAAGTAATGTATGTAAACCCCCTCCCCCTTATATAATATTGAACTGAATCTGTAAAAAACTTTTCTCTCTCTCTGCTTTTTGTGCACTGCTAGAAGGTGCATAGAAGTTGCAAATTGTTGCATGGTCGTCTATTTGAATGCTTATAATTCTGGAGTCTATACTACGTTGTGCGATTTTGTCAAAATTTCGGTTCCCCTTTTACTATGATCAATGTTTGAAAATGCTTCAAAGCCATTGATCTCAATTTGTTCTGTAACTTCTTGGAGCATGACAATGTCAAGCTCCATTAGGAATATAAATGATCTGAGCGCATCTAGCTTATTTCTATTAGAAATTCCATTCATATTTATCGACCCAATATTGTATGATGAAACATTCATCTTTCACGACTTATTTCGAGGTTTTCCTTGTACGACTACGCTTCTTCTGATGAGAAGGTGAGCCACTCCTACTTCGTATCTTATCATTTTCATTCATCTCGTCATCGGAGATGAGTACCGCGTATGGATTTTTAAGTGGAATTGTTGGTTGTATCGAAGAGTTCCCCGCAGCCTTTGCTGATGTCTCTGTTATCGGTTGTTGAGTCGACGTGTCCATTTGGTCACTTACTGTTTTTTCTGCTGTAATCTCTTTTGAGACTACTACGCTGCTCGATGGCTGGATTTCAGAAAAAAATTGTTAGCGTTGTTTGTGTTGTTAGTGTTTGTGTGAGTGTTTGTTTTGACTGGCGGTCTAACATCCGGGGTCACCTGAATTTTGCTCACGATAGATTTCTGTCCCAAACCTACTAGCTGTGTCAGATTAGTAAAATTAGGACTCAATGGCTTAACCCCATTACCTGCACCGGTACTTGTACTGGGTTGTTGACTTGATGGGCCCCCTGATGCTAGCGCTTCCGCGTAATTCACTCCAGCTGCCTTCAGCCGGTCGCTGATGTTCCCGTTTTTTCCAGAGTGTAGTTGCATCTCCATGTAGCCTGCCTCGGTGTGCATCTTAATGCGTACAGCCCTGACCCCATTTTTGATACCCTTCAATATGGCTGGTTCAGTCCATTCTTCCTCCTTCAACCAAATGACATAACCATACTTCTGTAGCGCCTGTTAGATTACCGTGTTTTCCGATTTAGGGGAGACATCGTGTATCCGACTGTTGTTGCGCCATCCTCCATGTACACAGTGACAGCATATTTGATGTTCTCGATCGTGATCTCGTGTCTACCATCCTTTTCAGGTTGGTGGTCCTGAATTCAGAAGGAGTTAAGATAATACATTTTCGAATAATCAAAAGAACTAAGAGCAAACACGTTCGTTCTGACCACTCACAGCCTTTGCGCTACATTTTCCATATCTTAGATGTAAAGTATTCATCGGCCTATACTTACTGGTATAGGTAAGTAGTAATATCATCATTCAGGATTTAATGTCACAAACAAACTTTAAAAATCACAGGTATTAATAATCACTATTTTTTCATCAGCTACACGGTAGCCGTCCTAAACGATCAAAAGGACACCAGAAAAAATAACAATTAATTAAAAGAACTAAAGGCTCTACAATTCTACATATGTGTTCCACTAGCGATTCTACGACAAGCCCCTAAGCACTGACCCTTCTACTTTTTTTCCTTGATTTATTTTCCGTCGATCTTGTTTTCCGTGCTGAGCACCCATGCTACCGGCGCCAGGGAGGCAGCTCCCACACCTGGGACCTATCTATCGACCCATCAACTCATGTACTGGGTACCAATGGCTTTTCTTCCCTTCCGAAGTAAGGCGTGATCAGAGATTTGATGCCTCAGAAAATCCCGGCTTTAGAATTTAAAGGAGGAATTTAAACTACAAAAAAATGGCCACCAAATATATAAAAACTTTTCCGAAGACGGTACTACCCTAAACACTGTTTAAGCGCTAACATTTGTGCCTTCCTACACACGACTTGGGGACCATTGTGCAATGGTCGGATAGCTAAATGAAATTATCAAATAAGTCCATCATACATCGCATTATTTCAACAAGTATAAGTCCTGTTGAGCATCCTAATCCATCCTGAAATCCACGATGCACTGATAAGCTGCTGCTGCTGCTAGTAACTACCGTTCATGTCTTCTGCACACCATCATAAAACCCATTCGCACAGACAACACACTGCGGATCTCTTCCGCACTACTTGCAGCAGGAAGAGAGCATTGCTCTTTCTCTCGCCAGCATAACTTAATACGATGCCGCAGCCTGCAGTTATTAATAAAAGCAGCAGACTAGACAACGACTAAGCATATTTTCATTAAATTTCCTCCGCCCGTCTCGTGCATGCTTCTCACCTCTTATTTCCGTCTTTCTTCTCTATTCTAGGTAAGTACCTGCCAACCTTCGTGCGAGACATTCGGCCTATTCCGTGTCCATGTATTTGCCTAGTAGGTGCAAACATATTGGAGTTTACTATATGTACCGACGGAACTGGTTACAACCATGCATAGTTGCTGGTGACTGGACTCGGTTGGACTGTGGAGGCACAACACCAGATATGCAAGGTAAGTGGAAAACTTAACGAACGAATAAAATACATGTGCCAGGAATGGTTAAGATTTCTTCCCATCGCATCGTCGGCGTTCTACCTGCGGGGAAAGCAATTTCCCTTTTATTCCGAAGATCCCTTCTGCTATTGAGTACACAAGTCTTGTGTTTTATTAAACCTCCTTCTCTAGGATTGGGAATACACACTGCCGATCTGTGGTGAAATGAAAAGTTTATTTGTATTCAAACAAGCTCGGTACGGTCCCTTCCGAGCCCATTCATGTTGCTACCCAACACTGAATTCGCACAATAATCATAAATGGAACATACATTCTGCACGGAAAGCACACCTCACCAATAGCAACACATGGAATTACATACATTCCCAGTTCGAATAAATTCATTTACTGGAGAACTTACTGGCCATGTTGCACTACGTTCCCTCTGTGTCGCATCACCGCGCCTGGTGCATTGATCCGTGTGTGCATGCATGTATGTGTGACTCTGTGTGTATGTGTGCCATATGAGGCGAGAAAATTTTACCCATCCCAACAGTGCTGCTCTGATGCCTTTATTTACGAGATGTTGAGCAAAGTGCAACGGAGACAGGGGCGTGTGCGGTTGATTCGGGCTGCATGAGTCCCATGTTCCTGCGGATTGCACCATTTTTTGTCCTAAAATCTTCAGCCTTCTTGGAAAGTTCGTCGAGAGTTATCAGACAACTTCTCCATCAGAAATCTTATGGTCGTTATTCTTGAATTCGTCCGGAACTATTTCGGAATTTATGGTGTTTTAACTTTCTTTTGGAACTTCTCCAAACATCTCCAAATGTTTCGTAGAAAACGCCACTTAACACCAGGGCCCCACAAAGTCACTTTCAATCGTAAATCGTCAAGCGACAATGAAGCTGTCAACCATCACTTTCAATTGAAAGTCATTCTGTCTTCTCTTCGATCAGATCCCCGTCAGACCACTTTCGATCAGTTTTGGCTTGACTCGTGTTCATATATTCTTTCATTGTCAAATGAACTTACTTTTGCATTGAAGCGAAGCTGTTCGATCCAAATTCGTGCACTTTTTATGACTTTTGAAGCTTGTTCACTCGATTCATTTAAGCGTATGCGCATAGATCTGTGCACGTGGATGTCACAATTTAGCATTGTCGGGTGGTTTGTTTGTCCATCAATATGGGTATTTTTTTTTTAATCGGGGTGACGTCTAGAGATCAAAAATGGATATGCGACGCCATTTTGAAATCCAATATGGCCGCTTCTAGTTTAAGAAAAAGTGGGAAATGCTGTCATATTTATACTAAACAATAAAAGTATTTTTGGAATCGGGATGATGTCTAGTGGATGAAAATCGATATCCGACGCCATTTTGAAATCGAAGAAGGCGGCTTATGATTTACGAAAAAGTGGAAATACAGTCAAATACACATTAATATTGCTATTTTTGTAATCGGTATGAAGTCTACGGATCGAAACTTGATATACGACGCCATTTAGAAATCCATGATGGACGCTCCGATTTCAGAATAAGTGGGAAATACTGTCAAATACCCATCAATGTAGGTATTTTTGGAATCGGGATGGCATCTAGAGGCCGGAAAACGATATCTGACGCCATTTTTAAATCCAATATGACGGCTTCGTATTTCAGAAAAATAGGAAATGCTGATGCCCTCCCATCAATATGGGTATTTTTGGAATCGGAGTGACGTCTGGAGATTGCACAGTGATTCAGAGCGGAAAAATATATGTAAATTGGGTTTTCCGCAAAATCTACTGGTTGTAGCGTTTTGATGTCTTCGAAAGAGTTGTTGGTAATGAAAAATTAGATAAGTCATTAGGGTGATTCAGTTTTAGAGTGACTTCAAAAATCTAACTCTAAAGGGAAATTTTTGGGAACTTTTTTTTACTTCTTCAAAGTTGTAGAGGATGCAAAACCAAGCAACTTTGTCCAAGACGTCAAATTTTTATCTCATCATCTACGCAGTCTACGAACTGAAACAACTAGAAGGTTAGGGTGATTCATGAAAAAACAGTTTTTTTACCATAACCTTTTTTGCTTTGTATTTAGAAAAAAAACTATTCTTCAGAACACTTTTAGAACTTTAAAAACACACATTTTGATCACCCAACCACTGAATCATTTGAATTCATTGGTAACCATAGTTCATTTGTTATGCACACTAATCCAGGCCTCTATCGATCGGTAAATTTTGAATTACAGAACTGTTCGATAAAAGTTTGAAAATCTTTTAAAAATCCAATAATTAGTAAATGTTTTCCGAACTTGTACAGACTTTGTTTAGCTTACCCCATTTAGCTATAAAAAAAAATGTCAAATTTATTGATTTATCACGTTTAACGGTCATTGGACAATTTTACCGACTTGATCTGCTGTTCAAAAACCCGGTAAAACTCTACTGTCTTCGGTGAATGACCGGTTATTGCCACTTTTATTCATTTTCTATGCCTTTTTTTCCTTAAAAATGACAATTTTCTAATTCTAATATTTCGAGTTCAAAAAATTATACCTCTGCCATTTTGTCAGCAAATATAGAACCAAATTTCTTCTTTCCATTACTTTCAATAGATTTGCAATTGGCTTGCGCGTTTTAAAGTTATATTAGTTTGAAAAATACTTGTTTCAAACCTTAAAATGACTATATCTTTTGATTCGGTAGTCCAAACGTCATAATAAGGTGATCAACATGTGTGTTTTTAAAGTTCTAAAAGTGTTCTCAAGAATAGTTTTTTTTTTCTTCTAAATACAATGCAAAAAAGGTTATGGTCAAAAAACTGTTTTTTCATGAATCACCCTAACCTTCTAGTTGTTTCAGTTCGTAGACTGCGTAGATGATGAGATAAAAATTTGACGTTTTCGACAAAGTTGCTTGGTTTTGCATCCTCTACAACTTTGAAGAAGTAAAAAAGTTCCCAAAAACATCCCTGAAGAGTTAGATTTTTGAAGTCACCCTAAAACTGAATCACCCTAATGACTACTCCAATGAAAAGATGCGCTTTTTCATTACCAACAATTCTTTCGAAGACATCAATACGCTACAACCAGTAGATTTTGCGGAAAACCCAATTTCCATGTATTTTCCGCTCTGGACCACTGTGGATTGGAAATCAATATCCGACGCCATTTTGAAATCCATGATGGCGGCTTCTAGTTTGAGAAAAAGTTGTAAATTCTATCAAATACCCATACAAACGGTTTTTTTTAGAATCAGCGGCTTCCGATTTGCGGAAAAGTGTCAAATATCCTAAAATATGTTTTTTTTTGCAATGGGGGTTGAGACGTAGATGGCAAAAAATGATGTCACGCTGTCTTTAAATCCAAGATGGCGGCTTTGGTTCCGAAAAAAACTGTGAAATACTTTGACTATATGTTTAGTATTACTTCTACGTGAAGTCAACGATTTACATAGTTGAAGATGCTAATTCCAAATAACAGACTGTAGTGGTAATTTTTATACGATAGATGGAGTAGATTTATACCTTCCTTAAAAAGTTGTCCTAGCTCGCTATTCTACTATCTATATGAAATTTTCACAATGCCGTACTCTAGCGGAACTATCAACTCTACACTTTCATCTACTCCATCTATCGTATAAAAATTACCACTACAGTCTGTTATTTGAAATTAGCATCTTCAACTATGTAAAATACTGTCAAATACCGAGCAATGTGGGTTTTTTTGGAATCGGACTGACATCTAGAAGGCAGAAATCGATGTCCGACACCATCTTGAAATTCAAGATAGTGGCTTCCGATTTCAGAAGAAGTGTCAAATAGCCTACAAATAGCATCGAATATAGATTTTCAGCATCTACGCGTCGTTCTCGTTCCGAAAATAGCCAGATCTTATGGTATTTGACACATTTTGTGAAACCCGATGGCCGCCATATTGGATTCCAAAATAACGTCGAATATCGATTTTCGGCATTCACACGTTGTCTCCATTCCGAAAATACCCATATTGTAGGGTATTTGACACTCTTTGAACCTTGAACACCATATTGGATTCCAAAGTGGTTTCTAATACCGATTTTTTGCATCTACGCGTTGTCTACGTTCCGAAAGTACCCATATATTAGGGTATATGACACGTTTTTTTGAAAGTTGATGGCCACCATCTTGGATTCCAAAATGGCGCCGAATATCGATTGTCGGCATCTACGCGTCAACCCCGTATTGTAGGATAGTTGACACTTTCTGAATCCTGATGGCCACCATATTGGATCCGAAAAAAACCCATATCTTAGGGTTTTTGACATTTCATAAAACCAATGGCCACTATCTTGAATTCCAAAATTGAGTCAGATATCGATTTTCGGCACCTTCGCGTCGTCCCCGTTCCGAAAATACCCGTATTGTAGGGTATTTGAGACTTTCTCTGACCCCGATGACTGCTATCTTGGACTCCAGAATGGCCTCGTTAATTTAATTTTCGTTAAATACAAAATACTATATTATTACTACATATAATCCGGATGTCATCCCCAGAGATGCAAAATATCACGACACTGACTCGACACTCGTCAACGCATCAACCGACTATTGCTGACAGAACGTTTTGTCAAGCAGTGAGAGGTAGAGCCATGGCAAACAACAATCACCAGAAATGGTCGCTGCTCACAGGCAAAACGTAACACTCGCTGCTGATGATGTAAAGCACAACGAAAACAGTGAAGACTTTTGCAGTACGATGATGAGAAAAAGGGAAACGACAGAAAAAATGAAAACAATGCCTACGCTTTCCAAGTTCATTTCGGCACGCGTGACTGTGTGAGTTACAAACAAAGCTGGCAAAATTAAACGGAAGCTGTTGGATTCACTCATCAAAACACTCACATAAGCATGCAAAGCAGCAACTGCATGAAAACGAGCACAAATGAGTGTCGTGATTGTCGGGAATGACCAGAAAGGTGATGGGTTCCACCGAAGACGACATTCACCAGTTGCTTTTTCTTCTTTCGTCAACTTGATGGATGGTCATTGATAGTGCTTCGACAAGCA